TCGTTCCTTATTTATCGTTCCTTAGGTCAGGCCGATGACTGTATTGTTGTCAGGGTCGGGGCGGGCGAGAACAGGGAAGAGAGGCCGATTACGCCCGTGTGCACCAGGGTCATGGCGTCAACACAACACGTCACGCTTGTGCTTCTGTTCGTGAGCGACTTCGAAGGGACGCCAAGAGTGAGCCGCAAGAGCTAGGGAGGAGCTTCCGCTGCAAACTGCGCGGGAAGGAGTCGAGGTCTCCGAGAAGGCAGTTGCGCCATGTGTAATTGGGTCGGGTGAGCCAGGGTGCTCAACGCCGCGGCTAGCAAAGGGAATTTTGAGGTTCAAGAAACTCTTCCGAATTTGGTCCAGCATGCAGCGACAGCGGACAATATCCCGCTGCGCAAGCAAGTCCTAGTCATTCCCAGACCCCCACACTGGCGGGCCGATGTGCTTTGCAGTGGCCGCAGAGCCAGCAGCGCCGAACCCGGTGGGCTCTTCCCAGGGTGGTGGAGAAGGAGCAGGAGGAGGAGGAGGAGGAGGAGGAGGAGGAGGAGGAGGAGGAGCAGCAGGAGGAGGAGGAGGAGGAGGAGGGCTTCAGGAGCACGTTGGGCTTCAGGAGGAGGAGGAGGAGGAGGAGGAGTGGAGTGGAGTGGACGCCATCACGAGGTGATCCGAGTCACTAGCCGCCCGAGGCTCGTGCTGCCTGTTGAGCTCGGGTGAGCGCCTTAGGCCACAACCCTCGTGCCAACCTTCGGAGATATTCTCTTCTGGTGGGGTTAAGCAGCCCAGTGCAAGACGCTTTCAAACTTTGAGACAGGAGCTCGTTACAAAAGAAGCCACACGTTGTACAATGCCACATCCCCAAGTCGTTGTGAAAAGCCATCTTGTGAGACGACCCCACCCAGCCCCCACAAAGATGCAAGGGTTGACCAGCGGGCAGATGCAAGACATTGGAGCTCCCAGGAACGAGATCAAAACAAGGGGTAGCTCGCCACTCAGTGGCAGTGTCGACCGAGGCAGACCCCTTACAGCGCAAACAGAAACGACCACTAGGTCCAAGGCGGTGGGACGAATGGAAAACGGACAGGGCGGCAGGAGAGGGAGGAGGAGGGAGAGGAGGCGGCAGGGGCGGCTCCACGACGTCCCCGTCCTGGGCGCCTCCGCCGCCACGCCGTTCGCCCCGATGTCGAGGCTGCTGCGCCTGTGAATCCGAGCTGAAAACCTCCAGGGCGACTCTCAACAGTCTGCACCGAACACGCAAAGCATCTGTTTCGACCTGCACGACGCGGGCCCGATGGGTGCTGTCCAGGCGACATCGTTGTGCCGCTACACCTGCAAGTTCGTCGGCAACCGTGTTGCCTACGACCAGACACCTCGGAATATTCTGCTGAATAATCTGGGCTGGGGAGAGGTGGGAGTCTACTTTGAGGACGGAGATAAGTGACGTGTCACGCTCTGCACTCTGGATAATAGACCGAATAGTATCCCAAGCCCCCATACTCTCCCCAGCGGGTCTCTCGTAGAACCCATTATACCAACCATCACAAACTCCTGAAGCATCGGTGACGTAAATCAAAGGGCCTCTGGAGTACAGGAGGGCCAACATAAGCCCTTGAAGTTCTCCGCGGGGCACTGTCTGCTTCCTACCTGGGAGAGGGCCTAAAACTCCTGCACGGACGACTGGAGGATCGTACGATGCCAAAGTAACAGCTGCAACTCCTACACGCCTGAAAGCTGGCTCCCGAGCATCTGGGCCTCCAGAAGCATCTCCAAAGATAATGACTGGCTCCCCAATACGTCCCTCTCCCAACGTAGTGTCGTTCAGCTCTGGCGGCTCGTTCCCCCCAACAGTGACCCACTGAGGCTCGGTACTAGCTGGGGGTACGGCCGTCCAGGCGCGAGGGATGAGCCCTCGGAACCAAAAACATGCTTCGCTCTCGCCGCAAGAGACTGCACGAGGAACTAGATCCTCGGACTGCTTGAAAGCCTTGTGCTCCGCACTGTTGCATCGACATAGCCAAAACCGATGTAGTGGTGTCTCGGGCTGCTCCTTGCACCTCGGGCAATCTGGACTGAGACGATGTCGAGTTTCGTCGTTTACCCTTTGCCGAGGCCAGAAACCCCCAGTAGCCACGTTGACCATCGTTTCCGAAAGGCGATGCCCGTGCTTGCTGCCCTGGAGACTCCGAAGGAACCGACGGTAACTGGTGTTGTCGACTCCCTGGGAAGAACCCTCGCCACAGTAGTGCTGCGCTGCCTTCGCCC